TATGGGGCAGGACTTGCTTCAGTGGGGCTTTGGCGCTCACTGAGTCTGCCCCCTGAGGGTGTCTCTTATGGATGTGAAGAGTTGTAATCTGGTATGGTCTCAATTTGACCACTGGGTACACTGGCTCTTGGATCTCTAAGGAGGTGCAAAGTCAGCCACTGCCTGAGGCCACCCAGCAGGATCTACAGAGAGATCTGCAGATTCCTCCTCTTTGTTTGGGGTTTGGAGGTGCCCACATGAGGCGCAGCTCTGAAGCAATGCAGGCTGCTGACGAGCCTTAGGCCTTCTTTTGGAAGCTCTGGGGTTCTTTGACCCAGCTGCAGTTTGTTAGGTTGCAAAAGGCCAGGCCATTCATATGCAAAAGCTTCTGCACACAGCTTGGGTGGGGTTGTAAATTGGGTGGGGCGTGGTCTCAGGGAATCACGGGGCTGTGCAAACAGCAATGGTTGCCCGTCGGCCCTGCCCTGGATAGGTCCCTGAGTCTCTGTGTCCCGCAGCCCCGTGCAGGAACAATGAACGCTGCAAGCACCTCTGAGAGAAAGCTGCCCTCATGTTCCAGCCCGATGCCAGACAGTCCAGTTTCTCCCCATATGAGTCTGGGTCCCCAGAGTCTCGCCCGGAACTGGAGTTCAGAGCAGTCGGGAGTTTGCATCTTCCTCCCGACTGAAAAAGACCACACCGTACCCAGTTGCCAGCCCATACCTACGCTCTTCCACACCTCTGCACCTCCTACCAGTCTAGATGTGCTTTTCTCTTTCCTCTAGTTGTCAAACTTCCACTCAACCAGTCTTCCCATGGTTCTGGATGATAGCCGTTTTGTCTTTTAGTTGTAGTTTTGATGTGGTTGTGCGAGGCATCAAGTTCAGGTGTTTACCTATACCGCCATCTTGGTTCCTGTTTGCAGATATTACAAAGGGCTCTGTGTATGTTATTGTTACAGACAGTTGTAACCTTGAATACATAATGAGTTTGTACTTGGCATAAGAATATGGGAATTGTTATCCGTATTAGTCTATTTTAGTCTATTACATTAGATGGCTAGCTTGCAAGGTCAGACAGTTAAATTTATCTTTTTCTATTATTTGAAGTAAAAACAAAGTCATTTTACAGAATAACAGACTGTCTTAAAGTGACAGAGTTTATAATGACAGAGTTAACAGGACTAGGGACTATCTTTCAATAGCAGAGAGTTTCAAACAGCAGTTTTTTATACAAGATGGAGGTTACTATGCTTCAAAGGGAGAGGGAGAGAAAGAAACATCAATGATGAGAGGGAATCATTGATCAGCTGCCTCCTGCACACTCCATACTGGGGATCAAGCCCACAACCCAGGGCATGTGCCCAGACCAGGAATTGAATCCTGACCTCCTGGTTCTTAAGCCAACACTCAACCACTGAGCCATGCCAGCAGAGCTGAATCAGCAAGTTTTTAAATTCTTCAGAATCAGTGGCTTCTAAGAGGATGTGTCTCAGAGGTTCCTTGCCCTCTGCTTCTATCAGACTAGCTGTGCTTTTATTCTGCATAAGATTTTGGGAAGAAGTATTCTGGTAACAAAAAAGAAAAGCTTTAAGACTACAAGTTTATTAATTAATTAATTTGTTTTTTTTAATTTATTTTTCTATTACAGTTGGCGTACAATAATATGTTAGTTTTAGATATACAGCATTTAGACATGTATATACCTTATAAAGTTATCACCCCAATAAGATAAGACCATTGATTTAAATTCTTGATAA